GCGCGAACGCGCCCCCGCCTTGGCCGCCCCTCTCTGGGGCAGTGGTGCCACGTCCGGCCCTACCGCGGTCAGGACAGTCTCTCCTGACGCAAACGTCGCTTCCTACCTATTCCCGTTGTCTCCCAACGGCTCCACCACGGCTGTTGGGAGTAGAAAGTAGGAGTTTAGATTCGTTCGTGGCCAAAGGCAAATTGAGCAGGGCCACAGCTGCCCAGGCCGGGGGCTCGGAGCTGCCGTCCCCTCCGCTCGCTCAGGAGAGCAGGGAAGGCATCAGCAAGGCCATGTCCCCCATGTCATCCCCAAATGTCCTGATGAACCCCTCCATGGTGGAGCCAGGCCTTTGCCTGCCTCCTCGTTGCCTCAGCCTTGGCAGTGGCCAGGTAATCATGCTTGGCCTTTGGTTTACTGCCTTCTCCTGGTGCTGGCTGCAACGATGCCCTTGGCTGGAGCAGCGCTACCTGAATCCAGCCCTTTCCATGTCTCTTGGGACTCGGCTGAGGGCGTCTGTCCTCGCATCACCCCAAAAGCCTGCTGTAAATGTAGAAGTGATAAGAGCAGTCAGCTGGCTGGGAGGGGAGAGGAGGGAGGAGGATGTCGTGTGGGGAAAGTTGAGGGTCTCTGTCTCTCAACCTGCAGAGCCCTGTGCTGGTCAGAGCTTCCCCTTGGACTAACCGGTCTTAACAGCAAGGTAAGGAGCAGACCCAGCCTATAGACAAGTCATGGAGAATCAGAGCTCGCCTAGCAGGATTTGCAGAGACCTTGCGTGGGGCACGGGAACTGCTGAATAATGGAAATAATGGCATGGGGAAAGACTTTGTTGTTTTCTAAAATGGGGCTGGAGGAATTATTGGCAGCAAAATAGTGCCCACAGCTGCAGTGTCCAGGTAGTTTCCCAGGCCAGCTCAGTGTTTGCTGGCAGTCAGACCCTGCTTGAACTCAGGGCTGTGGGCACCGGCAGGTAAAGGAGAGGGATTCTGTCTGTTTGCTTAGATATTAAAATGAGCCTGCTGTAACTTCCTGAAGACACAGTATCACCCAGCATAGGTCCTGCTTTGCTGTTAGCTCAGTAATACGGTGCAGGGCTGAGATTAGCAGCACTGAAAGGATGTGAGGACAACCACTGTCTTTTAAGAGAAGTTTAAACAGCTAGAAAAAAGCCCTGTCTTCCCTCCTTCCTGTCTGGGCCCTTTGAAATCTCTTCATACCAGCTCCCTAGATTAATCCAGCAGCCAGGATTAATCTGCAGGAAAAATATCCCTTTCAAGTCACTACAGTGGTATTTCAATCAGAAGCAGCAATGATGTCCCATTTTAAATTAACTGCAGGTAGTAAAGGTCGCTCTGCCCTCCTGCAGCCAGACACTGGAATAACATGAACACGTGCTTCAAACCGGAGTCTGTCAAAGGTGCCCAAAGGGGACAGGCAGGATTCCATGGACATCAATATGAGCCCAAAACTTCTCATGGCTCCGCTGTACTTGTATGAAGTGTAATGCAGTTAGAAGACCTCTGTTTTATCCCCGAACAACTTCCCCCCTTGACTCTGAGTGGGGTGGACAGGGCGATGGAAAGCCAGCTGCATTGCTGGGCTTTCCAGAAGGAATTAAGAAGGCTTTCGGAGATCAGCTAGCCCAACTGTGATGCTGGGCTTCACACCAGGCACACAAGAGCTGCTGAACACTGGTGTCACCTCTCAAAAATGGGGTCTGGAGCCCCTGAAAGGGGGGTGAGCAGTTATATGGACAGAAACAGTAGTTTGCTGCAGACACTGTGCTTGTTTCTGTAACAAAAGGTCAAAATCCAGGCCGTCTGGGGAGCAGAAGGGATCAGGCAGATCCTCAGCACAGCCCAGTGGGAGCTGACACCCAGGTCACTTATTTCACAAGGCCAAACCCTCCTGCCCCAGCAGGTTGCAGACCTCGACCTGGCACCCGTCCTGCCGGGACAGGTCTCAGCATGGGGGCAGCAGAATGGCCACCTTCCTGCAAGACAAGTCTTGCTTCTCTTTGGCTTTGTTAGCAGCAAGGATGTTTGTGCAGTGTCATATCTCAAAGAGATACAGGTTTGAGGGATCTGGATAGAAGGCCTGGAAAAATGATATTTTATATTTATTTAAGCAATATTTAACCTGTATTTTCACTTCAAATCCAGCTGAAAAGCTGAAACTGCAAATTTTCTTGGGAAATTGATAGTCTGAACAAAATGTGTGTTTGGAAATATCAAAGTGGTGTTGCTCTAAAAGGATAAATTCCAGTTCCTTTTCCCAATCCTGAGCTGGGTGTCAGAAACCATTTCATATTCAAACACACAGAGAGAGCAGCATTTGCATCCCAGTTTCAGAAGGACTGATGCCTACTCCAGGATATGACACTGTGATAGATAAGCTCTCAGTCGTGTAAATTGGGGTAGCCCCATGAAACGCCACAATACCAGGGATGGCTCAAGTGCCTGGGACTTTGCTCCTGAATCCCCTTGGCTTCTGTGTCATCCCTGCTCGCTCTGCTCAACCCAGCCAGCTGTGCTTGGCTGCACTGGCACTGCTGCTCTCCCCCTCAGACTCAGCCCTGAATCCTCTTTCCTTCTTGGCGGGGACTTTTACTAAACTTTTCCCTTCTCTGTGTTTTTGCTGAAGTCTCATAATGCCCCCCTTCTTTGCCTGGTGCTAAATACGAGCTGATTACTCAGTTCCAAGAAACCTGATCTTTATGGCCAAGCATAATAAACAGTACCCAGACATGTGAGACAGCGCAGCAACAGCTATTTCTGGCCAGTAGATTTGTTCCCTCATATATTGGCTGCTCCAAGCTCCCTCAGAGGAGCTGAGGTCACTGCTGAGTTTCAGACTGGAGTTTCAAACTGGAATTTGGGAACATTCAAAAGCTGGATTTTTGTTGTTGTTGTTTCCTCTTTCACCTGCACTCTGAACTGGTCACTCCAAAGGGCAGCTGGCCCCACTGGTTACCCAGCAGTGCCTCACCGTGCCCAAGGGGTTGAGAGGGAAATGCACACCCTTTTCTATGCGGTCCTGCAGTGCTGGGACTCATCTCACCTCACTGTTGTGTGGAAACCTCTGTCAGAGCTGCTTGGACTTGATTCATCCCATCTGGCACGCGCTTGAGTCAGGCAAAACACACCCTGCGATTGCCATCTCGCTCTGCCTGGAGTCTGTGTCACCCCAGACAGCGGAGCTGTCAGCGGGGCCAAGCACAGCCCCACACCACAGGAACGAGTGGGTGCTCCCAGTTTCCCAAAGCAACCACCCAAAATCCCCAGTCCTTTTTTAACACAGCGAAGGTGCTGGTACTGGCTGAGAGTTGAGGATCCCCTCTCACAGTCATGGCCCTTGATGCCTTTCACGTGGCTCTGAGGTATACAGGGCTTGGGAGGCAGTTTCCGTCCTTCCCTTGGTCTGACCCAAAGAGTGTATGAGTCAGTGGGAGTCTTTCCTTTGCTTAACTGAATGTCTTAAAGAGCAGAAGAATACCCGTACCCCTGCTACAAGGATCCTCACCTCTCCTTTCTCACCAGGTCCTGTTCCGATTCTGCCAGGATGGCACCCAAAAAGAAAACCAAGAAGCCCAAGGTGGATAAAGAGGATGCATCCATCACCCCTGTGATGGTGGAAGATGCTTTGCTAGATGTCGAACACCTCAGTCACTTGAATGGTTTGTTCGACAGCGGCTCCAACGGCTTCCACTGCACGGCCACGGAGCTTGAAGCGTCCGACCATGGAGCCAGCCTTCTGGAGGGGATGAATCAGATGCGCCAGAAGCGGTTCCTCTGTGATCTCACCATTGCCACCAAAACAAAGTCCTTCGACGTGCATAAACTCGTCCTGGCTTCCTGCAGCGAGTACTTCCACCGCCTGCTGCAGAGAGACCCTCAGCTGCACCGGGTGGAGCTCCACGACGTCTCCCCACTGGGCCTGACCACCATCATCACCTACGCCTACACGGGGAAGCTGAGCCTCTCGCTGTACACCATCGGCAGCACCATCGCTGCGGCCACTCAGCTGCAGGTGCCAGCACTGCTGAACATGTGTGGTGACTTCCTCGTTCGGGAGATGGCCGTGGAGAACTGCGTGTACATCGCCAACATCTCAGCCACCTACGGCCTCAACCAGGTGAAAGATGCCACGCGGAAGTTCATCCGGGAAAACTTCCTGGAGTTCTCCAAGACTGACCAGTTCATGAAACTCCCCTTCGATCAGATCAATGAGCTGCTGATGGATGATGGCCTGCAGATACCCAGTGAGGTTGCAGCCTTCCAGATCGCTGTCAAGTGGCTGGAGTTTGACCCAAAACGGGTCCGATATGCTGCTGACCTCCTGAGCAACATTCGATTCGGCACAATCTCAGCTCCAGACTTGGTCAACCATGTGCAACCTGTGCCACGCATGATGCAAGACCCTCAGTGCCACAAGCTCCTCGTGGATGCTATGAATTACCACCTGCTCCCCCACCAGCAAAACAGCCTTCAGTCACGGAGAACCAGGATTCGGGGAGGCCAGAGGGTGCTCGTCACAGTTGGGGGTCGTCCAGCTTTGACCGAGAAGGCTCTTAGCAGGGAGATCAGCTACAGGGACACAGAGGGAAACTGGAACAAGCTGACAGAGATGCCAGCAAAAAGTTTTAACCAGTGTGTGGTTGTGATGGATGGATTCATCTACATTGCGGGTGGTGAAGACCAAAATGATGCCAGGAACCAGGCCAAGCATGCCGTCAGCAGCCTGAGCAGGTAAGACAGGCTTCACCTGGCCACACAGACCCTGGGGAGGGGTTCAGAGCTGTGCTGTGTTTGCCTGTGCCCCAGCATCCCCCATGGGGTGAGGGATGAGCACGTCAGAAAGTTTCCTCTGCTATCAGTAACGAGGAGGTAGGTCTGGCCCCTGAGATAATGCTGCCAGGGAGGGACAAATGCAGCGAGGCGCAGCACAGGGTGCTGGTCTGTGAGACCCAAGACCTGGAAACCACTTCCAAGCATTTGGTCTGCGTGACCCTGGCCTGGGCTTCCCCTGGGGACTTTGGGGCCTGGGCTGTGCTGCCCACGTCCTCCAGCAGCACACAGCACCGGTGCAGGATGAGGGCAAGGCAGGGCCTCTTCAAAGCTGTGAGGCTCCTAGAGAAATGGGAGCCCTTATTATTTAGCATTTTGTTAGTCTGGGGAGTTCCCCTTTTCGCTTGGTGGCTATTCCTCCAGCCAGTGCCAGCCTCGACCCGGTCTCTGGTTTGCCTGGATTCATTTTAAGGTAGATTTACTGTCTGTAGGATTCCTGTTGCCCTTCAGGCTTTCTTCTCTCCACCTCCATTTCTCTTTTTGTTATTTAAATAACAAGGTTTGTTTCCTAAATCCCCATAAACCTGTCAATGGATTGCCAAGGGATTACTGTTCAAAGAAAGGAGGAGTAACCATGGCAACCTGACAAGCAGTATTTTGTTTGCAACCTAAACCTGAACTTCCTAGCGGCTCTGCCCACAGCTTGGCTCAGCCACTTGAGGCTCCACATGCAACACCGTGGGCACTGCTCGAGGCCAGCCCTTCACGGCCCCTGATCACCACCCCTTGGTTAGCAGCCATCACTGGTCTCTTTCTGCTGCATGGAGTGAGGTTTCAGGGACCCACTGGCAGGTCTCCTTTCTATTTCTGGCCAGTAGCTTATCCACCTTTTCCAGCCTGGCCTTAGTCCCCGGGGCATCGCTCTGGGGCCACAGCCATTTCAGTTCCCTCTGCCACCTCGTGGGCACACAAGGAGCTGGCTTCTTATCAAGTGCCTGGCTTTGGCCTGGCAGGGTGGGCAGAGAAGGCCTGTCCCTTGGTCCTCTTCTACCTGCCAAGACCCAACAGAGGGGACAGTAACAGTGCTTGGGGACACCTCAGATGAGTAGCACTCACCATTTCCACACCAGGCCGGAGCTTGTGGTGGCAGGAGCAATGCTGGGGCCATCCCAAGGGTTAGAGCGGCAACAACCCCAGCAGTCACAGGCAGGATCCAGTCCTGTGCAGTGCCATCGTCTCCATCTGTACTGCCTGCCCAAATGCTTTTTTACTGCTGGAGAAGACAGAGAGGCTCTTTCAGAGCACAAGTTGTCTCCTCCAAAGGCAGATATTTGGCAGGGCCCTCTTCTCCCCACAGCTCTGATGCTAGTCCTGGACAGACAGATCTGCCCTTCGTCCCCCAGGTACGATCCACGCTTCAACACCTGGCTGCACCTGGCCAGCATGCAGCACAGGAGGACACACTTCAGCCTGAGTGCCTGCAATGGGCTCCTCTACGCTGTTGGAGGGCGCAATGCTGAGGGCGTGTTGGCATCTGTCGAGTGCTATGTCCCCACCACCAACAGCTGGCAGAGCAAGGCAAGCCTGGAGACACACCGCTGCTGCCATGCCACCACCGTCATTGACGGCAAGCTCCTGGTCACAGGCGGCTACATCAGCCATGCCTATTCCCGCACCGTGTGCTGCTACGAGCCCAGCACCGACACCTGGAGGGAGCAGGCAAGGCTCAGCACCCCCCGGGGCTGGCACTGTGCAGCCACTGTGGCCGACCGAGCGTATGTGCTGGGTGGGAGCCAGCTGGGTCCCCAAGGTGAGCGGGTGGACGTGATGCCCGTGGAGTGTTACAGCCCACTCACAGGGCAGTGGAGTTACATGGCACCCCTGCCCACGGGGGTCAGCACAGCCGGGGTGGCTCTGCTGGAGGGGCGCTTGTGCCTGGTGGGTGGCTGGAACGAGACTGGGAAGAAGTATCAGAAATGCGTGCAGTGCTACAACCCTGACCTCAACGAGTGGACCGAGGATGAGGACCTCCCCGAGGCCACCGTGGGTGTCTCGTGCTGCACTATCATCCTCCCACGCTCCCCGAGCTCCAGGTCCCGGGCTAGCTCTGTGGCCTCAGCAGCAGCCAGCACGTAAAGAGCCCTGAGTGCCACATGGCTTATGCCAGCAGCTAGGGAAGGAGATTGAGCTCAGGAGTGTGGAGTAGCTGGATGGGGAGGCACGCTGATGTTTGGAGTCACTGCAAAGTCTCATACATTCTTGTTCCATCATGGCAAGTTTTGGGCTCCAGGAAAGTGTCTTCTGAGCTGCCTGCATCTTCATCCCACAGCTTAAGCAGGGACTGCTCAAGCGGGGGGCAGACATGGAAGCAAGCAGGACAGAACAGCTTTTCTCCTCAGCCTGCAGCACTGTATCGCAGCATGGATTGGAAAAAAATGGAAAAAAAAGAAGAAAAACAAACTAGAATAATGCAGGAGAAATTGTACTGTAGGAATAGTATCACGAGACACCTTCAAAACAACAGTAGTATTGATATTAGGTACAAGAAAATGACAGATCTAGAACAGACCCTGTTCTCATGTAGCATTTGTTCAATGGAAGGACACTTAATATTTACTCATTGAAGCTAGATGCCTTCAGACCAGGAATAAAGTGAATCTTGATAGCAAGGAAGAGAACTATTGGAGCAACTCACTAAGATCTGTTACTCTTCCAAGTGCCGTGCTCTGGCTCAAGCAGAGGGAATCAGGGAAGTGCCTGAGGATGCTATGAAACTCCAGATTTGAGAGGCAAATGGTGCCCTGAAAATAAGTATCAGCTGGAGCAGAATCCCTTCACATCTAAACCAGGAGCTCTCGCAGATATATTCCTAGTCAGGTCCTGTTACTTGTACCATCAAGCTGACAGCTTGATTTTGAACTCAATCAGTGCTTCCCCATAACTGGAAAAGCAGAGTCTGACCTGTAAAAGAAGTGATTAGGAAACTTGAGTTTCCAGGGGCAAGCAGTTGCTCAGTGCCTGGGGACCCTCCCTGTCACTGCGTCTGAGACAGTTACCAGTCTTCATTAAAACCCTAGCTGCCCTTTCAGAGTGCACAGGGGCTGCAGACCCTGCCTTACAGTGCTGCAGAGCAGACTCAGGCTCTTGGGCTGAGTACATCAGGACAAACCACACCACAGCACTCCGAACCCTGCCCCGGCAGGTCTGAGATACAGTCCCAGAGCAGTGATAACCTGTGAAGAGCAGGAGGTAAGAGAGTGGTGGTTATTTCCTGGTCTCAAACCCATGGTCATGACAAAACATTGCACAACAGTCATGTGCTAAGGCCAGCATCTTCTGATAACAGGTCCTGTTACTGGAGCACATTTACATGTGATCCTAGACAGGCTCGTCACCTTTGTCTCAGGCCAAGACAACTACACACTGCTGAGCATCCAGGCAAATGCTCCTGGTTTTGTTCTGGTCTTTTTTGCACAACACAGTGAAATTGCATCCAGGAAGCCCCTGAGCCCCTCAAGGGAACCTCAACATGCCATGAAGATGCAAAGACAAGAGCTTCAGCAAAGCAGGCTGGTTTGCACTGCCTTTCGTAACTTGCCAAAACTGAGCAACTTGTAGAAGCTACAGTTCACATAAAGGTCTTGATCTTTCTCTTGAGAATTCTCTTTCTCAATTAAGAGTTCACATTGAGAATAAAGCTATACAGAGGCAGAACATAATTCCTGTTCAAATTCTACTCTCCTCTGTGCATTTTAGCATGCACAGCACACACTGCCCTGTGCATTTTGGAGTGGGTTCCATCCTGAACAGCACTAGCAACCTCCCCTGGTTTACAACTCCAAACAGGCTTGACAAGGGAACAATCTAGTCTTTGAGACAACACTGCTTGATCACTGGTGCCAACGCATGCAGATCTGGATGGAAGCGAGTTTGTTCCTTCATTTTTTTAATTATATTTTTTTATTGTAAGATGCAGGAGAGGACTGAACACTGGGCACAGAGGCAAGGGTGTTGCTGAACTCCACTTGTGTGAGCTGTATTGTCCTGCAGGGAATTTTCTCTTTGAACAATAAAGGCCATTCCTTTGCAGGGGAAAGCTGTCTGGCTGTGTAATTAAAGCAGTATAAGTTCACACTTCTGAAGTATTTTAACAAACAAGTCAAGATTCATCCCCTACATTCCAAGCACATCCAGTAATTGCTTCAGGATTTCTACAGAACATCGAGAGCACCACCATCTCTGGGGTAGAAACAACTCTACCAGCTGCAGGTACAGGCACTCGAGGTCTCTCACACTACCCACAGAAGCAGCACGGATCAGGGGTTTCTGCTGGCTGATCTCAGCCCTCTCTTGTGGCATCAGGCTTGAATCTTGGCTCGGAAGCATCGCCAGTCCCCTGGCACCACCAGCACCACAGGCCTTGCCCATCCCCTCAGCCCCTTCCAACCAGTCCTGTCATGCTTGCTTAGACAACCCTCAGCTACATCTTGGCTTTATGGCTCTGCTTTATTAAGAGGATGCGTGTGCCATTTCCTTTGGCTTCCCATTGAACTTGCACTCCCAATAGTTCCTAGAGCAACCAAGTTTCTTCTGCTAATTCAGAATCCCTCATTCATTAAAGAGCAGGCTGCTGTTAAGACTGTAGGTCAGTCTGTGGAGGATCAGAACCGGCACACTGACTTACTTTGTTCCCCTCAGGGATTTAACCCTCCAGAAATTCTGCTCTACTACTCCATTGGCCAAAAAGCATTTTTTTTTTTTTTCCTTCTTTCTACACCCACCTGCAGACTCTAGTAAAAGCTCTATATATTATTTGTGCAGTTGGACAGTACAGAAGTGGAGACTGTATCCATGTAAATCCAACACCTGCTCCTCAAGAACAGCATGTTCTCTTCAAGTGCACAGCATCAGTCCATGTCCTTCTGGTGCCTTTCCAGTGTGACCAACCCTTGCTCCCAGCAGCTTCTCAGGTCAGGAGCCCCCACAAAATTCACAACAGAAGTTAAAGGTTAGAAAACTTTATTTGCTTTTTTGGTAACAGGAACCGCTCATTTACCAGGAAGGATGATGCCATCATACTGTGAGACAAAAAAAAACAAAAAACAAACAAACAAACAAGAACCAAGTCAGAAAGTACCATCAGGTAAAGGTGCAGGACTGCTGTGCAGAAAACTGGGTCACCACACTCACTCCAAGCCAGGCAGACAACACTGACATGAAATACCAGTTCTCCTGTAGCTAACTGCCTTTCTACTTTGCTGCTGTGCTGCTGACTTCCAAGCAGGGCTTTGTTGAGATAAGCATTAAACTCCACTCATCAGCCCAGTGAAAGAAGCCCCATCCTTCACAGGTTGATCTGACCAGAACTACGCTTGTCTCTTTTACAGTCCCAGGATTTGGCCCTGAAAGTAACTCAGCCACAGTAAGCAGAACCAGGTGGGGGAGGGGGGGAGAAAAAAAAAAAAAATCCATTCAGCAGGAGCAGGCTGGAGCCCACCCTGTGCAGGGTATCATCGGTGCAGATCTAGGCAGAGTAGCCAGTAAAGAGCCTCCAGACAGACCGCCCACCCTTTCCACCTCCGAAAAAGTATCAGAGTCCCTATCTCTGAGCATTTCCAATCAAGCTTTTGGCAACTCCTGTTCATTATCCAGTCTGTGTCAGAGAGGGCTACGGACAGATAAACCCAAGAACTTGTTTTATTTGGATCGCTCCATCCTCCAAGTCTGGTAGCTGAGCTAGGAGCTGTGTCAGATAAACAAATCCTAACCCTGTCTCGTCACTTGTGATCCACATACACACGCCACCTCCCAAAAACTGTGGGAGACAGATTTACACAAGAGCCGATACTTCCAGCTATCCTGCAAGAGCTGCTCTTTCAGTTCAGCACACACAAAAAAGGGGTATGAACAGCACTCATCCTCAAACACAGCTTCTACTGCCCCAGACCAGTAAAAAACAGCGATTTAAGCAGTGATCAGGATCTCCTGCCCAGTGACTTGTTCCAGCCTTTCCACAGTGAAGCATTTTGCTGATACTTGCTAGGAAACTCTTGGGATACAAAAATAAAGATGGACTTTACCTTTTGCTGAAACCAGCGCATGGCTTCTTCCTTTCCAATTCTGTGCTTGGCTCCAATGTTGCCAGTCCTGCGCTTCTTGTCAGCAATGCTGAAACCAGGCCTGCCCAGCACCTGTCAGGAGAGGAGAGCCACAGCACTATTTCATTCCAGCATTTTTTTTTTTTATTTTCTTAAACTTAACAGTTTTCTAGGAGGGAAGGCTAAAATTTCCACATCAGTAACATCTTGTTGTCCGTCACACTCAAGACTGAAAGTGTTCTCTTCTACAGCCTCAATGTAAACTGAAAACTAAGTAACTTCTGAGCAGCCAGGTAAACTGACACAGACAGCTCCTAGACTGGGCGACTTAGCACATACACTGACTCAGAGAAACCAAAATGAGTATGGAAGATTCACTATTCCATACCCAGAGGCCTCAGCTCTCAAGAAAAGATACACTGAACAGCATTGCTAACGTACAGAACAGCTTCCCTCTATTTCAGAGATTTAGCACGAGGCACATCAGAATGGAACGACTCCAACACACCAGCCAGCACCACTGCTACATGACCCACCCCCAGCACCCTAAACACAGGGAGAATCTTCCAGCAGTGCAGCCCGTCTTTCAGTCCACATTCCTGAAGCTCCTGCTGCTCCTTCCTTCTCCAAACCTAGCACAGCTGTTTCAGTGTTATCCCAGGAGTACCAATAAGAGCCACAGTATTTGCTTCTGAAGAGCAAATGTGAGACATGTCATAAATCAGGGATTTTACAGCAGCCCTAGGAATCCCAGTTTAAACTTGGATTTTGTTGACATCTTTCTATCTTCCAGCACTGGGCAGCAAGTTAACGTGAGCCAGTTATTGTTCTAGGTTCCTTCTAGAGCTTTCACACAAGTCCAGTAGCTGCAAGGAAGCAAGGAATACGCACCACGTAAAAGTCCAAGCCGTAGATACCAATACTGGGATCGTATTTAATCCCCAGATCGATGTGCTCCTGGATTCCAAAGCCAAAGTTCCCAGTGTCTGAGAAGTTGTTTTTTCTCAACTCGTATTCTCGCACCTGAAACATTTGTCGTCAGTCAGTCCCATGTGTTCTGACTGCTACCAGACCCACAACTTGCTTACATGCTAAGTCTTTAATCCTATGATTTTGCTCCCACAGCCTGCTCATAAATCACAGCAGTAAAGACAGAACCTCAAGAGAAAGCAGCAACTGCACCCACTAGCTCTTAAATAAGGATGAAACAGCAACCAGAGAAATGGTGCAAACACAGCAGCCTGTGTATCAAAAGCTGCTCCCCCAACCCTTAACACCCACGACTAACGTGTAACTAGATCAGGTGTGACATTTCAAAGCACACATCTTTTCAGTTGGTACGGATTAAGTTTTGCTCTTTCACAAATCAAAGATCCAGACCAGCCAAATTCTCACCTTCAACCCCTTCTCCAGAATCTCCTCTGCTTTGGCCCCGCGAACCGTGCAATGAACAGCAATCTTCTCATTTCTCCTGATTCCAAAGGATCTTACAGTGTATCGTGCTGTAGGCAGCAATAATTACACTTAGAGGCTATTCAAAGAATTCCCACCCAGGGGATACACACCTTGCTTAAGAAAACCAACAAATTACTTTAAAGTGAAGAAAAAAAGAACCACACGTTCCCTCTTTGGGGACAAGGGCAGAGCAGCAGCCCAAGTCTGGAGGCAGAGCTGAACTGACAGAAACGACCACCAGCACCTGAATATTTAGGACCCCCAATTCTTACACCAAGGCCCACATCAGAGCAGATCTCCCCACCCACACCGGCTCTGCCAAGGAGCTTCTTCCCTGGGAGCCACACTGCCACTTCATCCTCTGCATGCTCAGGAAAGGAAGAAAAACAACCAGAAAACAAACCGCCCCTTTACCCCCCCCCGCCCCTCCCCCCCCCCCCCCCCCCCGCCTTTGGCAGCCGGCAGGAAAACCCACCCCTCACCTTTGGAGAAGACGGGGGTCTGGCCTGTCAGCTGCTCCAGCACTTTGGCCGCTCGGGTGAGCCTGTCCCCGCTCTCCCCAACGCAGATGTTGAGGCAGAGCTTGCGGATGCGCAGCTCTCGCATGGGGTTCTCCTTTTCACCTTGGTCTTGCTGTGGAAAAACGATACGGGGGCTAACGGAGGGCGTCCGGGAGACAGCCCACCGCTCGCCCCAACGGCAGGAGAAGGCTTCGCCAGGCCGCTACAGCAACCTGACACCGAGCTCTCCTCCACCCCGGGGGGGGAACGCCGGCGCCGCCGCCCCGGCTCAAGCACCGCCGCGGCGGCCCAGCCACCGGGCAGGCCGCGGCCTGTCATGGCAGCCGCTTCCCCAGGGCGGCCCACCGGCTCCTCCCTGCCCATACCGGTCCCGTAACTCTCCCCCCCAGCCTCTCCCGCTCCCGCCCGCACTGGCCGTGACCCGGCCGGGCCCCGCCGAGGGCGGATGGCAGCGGATAGAGAGGGCACAGTCCGGCCTCTACCAGCGGGCGCCGCCACTCACCGCCATGATGGGGGCGGGGAAGAGATCAACGGAGCCCCGCCGCGGGGTCTTATGGGACGGCGCGGGGCGGG